TTTTGTGAAACTCATTCCTTTACTTATTTTTCCATTGTCTGTGAAGTCAATGAACATTTTAGATTGCGAATATAGGCAATCAGTTGATGGTCGTGTTAAGAATGCTTTACTCCTACTCTTATCTCCTAATAATGCATGATGGAGGACCACATCTTTACAGTTGGCCAAGAATTCCCTGATGTGAAGTCCTTCTGCAACGCGATCAAGGAGGCCGCAATTGCCCAGCACTTTGAACTCCGGATCATCAAAAGTGATCTCATCTGATACATAGCCAAATGCACGGTTGATAGCTGTCCGTAGCGCGTGCATGCTGTCAAGCTCACAAACACCCCCAACCTTCACCATAGAAGCCTTGACCCCTCGCGCACATTTGGAAAAACTCGCACGCGTGCCATCACCAGACGTCGATCGACTGGATTGTGAGCTTCATATATCAAAATCTTCATGAGAACATGAAGTACAAGCCAAAGGACATTCTACAAGATGTATATAAGCAGTATGGGATAACCATACCATACAAGCAGGCCTGGCGGGCCAGGGAGCGTGAATGGTGGTATTTTCATGGATGTTGAAGATTTCTTACTTAGCTTTAGATGATTTTGGGAGTAAATTTCTAGAAGATAGATGTGTGAAGAATTGAATGATTTTGAGCGTTTACCACCTTGCTCATGTTTGTGCGCTGGTTAGCGGATTACGGCGAATTGTGGTTTCATTATTTATTTATTTAATTTCTTTCTAATTTGTACTTGGGCTATGATGAATTTTGTGTCATACCTATATTTTGTTTTGATAATTTTTGGGTTTTTTCTATCATTTCAAATGCTTAATTGTAGGTTTGGGAAGCTTTGACTGGGAAATTGTGGAAACTGAAGATTTTGAAGAGCACCCAACATTGCTGGTAAGAATCTAAATTCTTGGGTGTTAGCTTTATCTTTCTGATGTTTGGTGCTTTCATTCTGATTGGACCTTGTCATCTCTGTATGGCAAAATGATACATTTTTTTTTCCTTTGCCAGATTTCCCTTAATTCAGTGATCGAAACAACTCTTTTCTTCATTTTGGAAGATATCTCGCATAGGCATGTTGGCAATAGACTGGAGCAGGTAAACACCTTCCCCTCTTCACAAACCCTCCGCGCAAAAACTCATTTTTAATTCTGAAAAGGAAACAACTCACAACTAGATCTTGGGATGGTGGTCGATGGCGGGTTCGACGGCTTCTCCTCCGATTGCTGCAAGGAGGTGCGAGGTTGGGTTTGGGTGCGGCCCTGGCGGCTTGGCTCGTCTGAGCTGTGGCAGTCGGGGGTTGAGGTGTCGATTCCTTTGGTTCCCCTTGTCGCTGGTGTTGCGATTCTGGGATGCCGGCATGCCCGAACCTAGGCCAGTGGTGTTGGCCGGGTCTCGGGTAGCTGGCTTGTGGAGGATGGGTCGATACTCCTCTGGCTTCGGGTCGACTTTCATCTGTGGCGTGGTCTGATGTTCGGGACTCGTTCCTTGCTAGGCATTTTGGCAGTGGCGGGAGTGGCGTTCTGGATTCTGGGTCAAGCTGTAGGATGAAGTCTGTATCTCGTTGGTGGTTGGGTCGGGTTTAGCCTTCGCCGGGGAAGGGCCTTGCTCGTAGGTAGTTTAGGTTTTTTATTCTTGGTTTTAGTTTGCTGCTGTTTGTGTGTTTGTTTTTGTGTTTTAGGTTTGGGTCGTTGGCCCCGGTTTATCCGAGTGTGACCTTTATTATCCCAATGGGATCACACACTCGGGCATTACCCTGCTGGGGTCTTTTTAGTTTGTGTGTTGTTCTAGTTTTTTAGTGTCCTAGTTTGTTGTGTCCCCGAGAATTACCCTGTTGGGGTCGGCTCTAGGCGGTCTGTTGACTGTCCTCCCACTTTTATTCAGCTATTGGCTGCTTGTATTCAGCTGGTGGCTGCTCTTTTGCACATTTGTGCGTATTTATATAATGCCTCTATCGTTTCGGGAAAAAAAAAAGATCTCTATATTTCGTAGTTATCTTCTATGTAGAGATTCAGTGAGAGCTAAAGAACAACAATGGATTTCTTCACGGCCTTCTTCGATTCGCGAGCATGAACTGGCTGGAATTACAAGTCGCTTAGGAATTTCCGGCAGATCCCCCATTGTCCAGACGCATCTCAATCAAGTTCTGATTTTTTGTATGTGTTGGAATTTTGTTGGTTGCGTTTTATGTATTCCGTGTTTAATCGGGTTTGATATTTCATGATGTCAACGAATTTTTGTTTAATTTGGTGTTAGTTTTACCAGTTTCTCGAATCTGTGAAAGTATTTGATGATTTCTGTGCTTTAGGGTTTAGATTTTCGCCCGACCACCCATCTGCTGTGGGAATTGGAGCTTTGTCTCAATAAAGCAAAAAGGGAAAAATACCTTAGATCTCTACTATTTTGGAGGAAGAGATCTCTTATCGTAGTAGCAAGATGCCCTTTTTTAATTTCTCAAATTTTACGATCATTGGACAAGGAAATGGGCTAGAGTCACCGTGTAAATGTTTGATATTTTTTTGTTTAATGTTGATATGCTTCTGTCAATAACAAGATCATGGCTAGACGGAGCTGTACGAGACCGACATGATGCAGGATGGATCAGGAAATTTGGAGGTATCCTTTATTAATTTTCTTTCTTATTACTGTCTTTGAACAAATTTGAATATTTCTTCTATTCAATGTCAACTGATGTTTACTTTCTCCAGAGTTAAAGGCAATAGAAGAACTTGCATTAGAAGCACATTTGTATTTCTTTATTTAAGGATAGTTTCATATGCTGCATCAGGTCTATTTATGTTACATACTCCTCATTCACCAATTGGTCAACAATGGTGAATTTGACCAACACAACCAAACAAACTGAAAAACCACTATGTATGTCTTCCCCAGACACTTCTATTATCAAGAATATTCGAACATTATTGTTTTGATCAAGGTTGCTGCTCTATCGCAAGTCTGTTGTACAGTTGTAGGAGGACAAGGTAAGTATTGA